TATATATATACACATGTATATATCTGCATGGGAGTCCTCGTTTCGGGGTGGTCGAGGAAAAACGCGACGCGACACGTCGATCAGCAGGCTTCGATTCGGCGAGGTTTCGCGAAGTGGTAGTCTATTTTTCGCGAGTTTAGTCGCTTTTGATCGTTCTCGCGAAGTGGTCCGGGGAATCGTTTGGCCTACGACCACGTAGCCAAGCATGCGAATCGGTCGATTGTCTTCGATTGGCACCAGAAGCAGACATATACTTCGCGGACGAGCGAGCAGCGTCGACACTTTAAGGGCGCGTGAACCACGGACGCAGAGTCGGCCAGCAACTTCCGCGTAAGTTTCTCAATTTTTCCCTTAAATATATAATACACGTATGCCCGTATCTTATCCGGGAGACGCGCGTACATTTGCGAGAGTGCGAGATTTCGTTAACAAGTGACAAAGTGGTTTACGAAACCGGTGGAGTTTTTATCAGCTGTATCTCTGTATAGGTTATGTTATGTTTCTCCGGTATAATACTATATGGTATAACGTAATTGACAACACTAAATTAAATATTTCATGAGGAAGAACTTGTATGTGTGTACATTTGTGAAAAAAGAAGTTGTCACTATTTTTTATAATGTTGTCTGAGAATTAACATGATTATATATCAATTGCACTTTGCAAACCACTTGTCCTACGAATATTTAATATATATAATATTTTATAAGTAATTACAATAGGTTTGCTATCATATAATGTATAATAAATATGTCATATATAATATCAAAAATCATATATGACAGTAATAAATGTTCTAAGGAGTTTATGCGACTTCAAAGCGTGAATACATGGTAAATCAGTCATTCACTATATGCGTATATGCTAATTATAGTTTATATAGAATATATCGAGAATTCATACTATGCTTTAATTAACATATTTTTTTTATAAATTTGAAATAAGCTGCTGTTTAGTGAAAATTGTATAGAGAAGATTTATTTATCGAATTATTCAACTTTGTGAAATTTAAAAGCCGTTGACGACAAAAAAAATTTTGAAGTTGTAATACTACATAATTTTTTGTCAACGCAATATTATTTATTTAAAAACTTATCTTTTTTCCTGTTTTCAAATAGATGAAAACAAAATTCTTTAGCGGTTACATTCTCATTAGATTTATAATCTTATACAGAATAAAATCGATGATGAGAAAGAATCGAAGACTCATCTTTTCTTTTATATATTTTTTTGCATATTTACATTTGCACATTTACATATTTAATTTCGCGAATCGAACAATTTCGAATATATGTGACTCATCATGTATTTCTATTTTTATCGTATTGCGACATAAAATTTTACAAAAAATTTAAAATTTGCTATCGCAGAAATTTAAAAAACGTCGAGACGAAAGGGAATTTTATATACAATGTCAGAAGCCAATATAAATAATTGTCAGATGACATAATTACTCAGTTTAATTATGCCTCGGCAAAATTGCGTCTAATGTCCGCTGTTAATCACCTCGGTAATATAATAGCGATAAGGTAGCATTGTTTCGAAAAAAAACTTCCACTTTACAACGATGCTCTGTTATCACATCTTCCATTTCTTTCATTAATTTTTTTGGTTCAAAATGAAGACTTTTAAATCAACGTAAAATTTTCGATGAATTAGAGCGAATAACGAGAAATGTTTACCGAATTTTTCACCCTGATTTTGATATATCACCTTTCACTTTAAATTACATTATATAAAGAAAACGCGCGACTATCATGAGACTTGTTACGTAAATCTTTAAATAAGATAACTTAAAATCGTCGAGGCAGTTAATTGCGATTACTTTCGGTAGGAGTGTGCTGTTAATGGTCTATTAACTCAACTCGTACAAGCCAACCGGATGGAATGAGATATGAAATGTGTCGCAAAGAGAGCAGCAAAAAAGGGTCAGACACGCTGAAACTTGGCTATCGTAACTAAAACTGAGATTGATTGATTGCGATATTGATGCATTCGGATTTTTGCACGCGTGTTGAAATAGTTTGCGACGCAGAGATTGAAACCGATATAATTTCAATCGATATTGAACGCGTGAAAATGGACTTTCAAGTATACAGGGTGCGGCATTTATAGTGACGCGGGCATATTTTTCGGAAACGAAGTGAGATATCAAAAAATGTTTCCGACAAAAGTTGCATGGTTTCGACAATGTATTTTTTAAAACAACTATTTGTTTTTTTCTTTACACTAATTGATTTGTCTCATTATTCTGTACATGAAAGTATTACGGTAAGATTATCGAGAACTAAATATTTTACGAGATATTTTGTTTTTTATATCAAAATATGTCAGATTAAAATATAAAATAACTCAAAAAGTACTTAATGAAAAAATACTTTATTATAGTGTTTTGGAAAGCTCTCGGGATAAGCTATAAGAATATGTAATAAAAAATGGGGAGTTCCATTTAAGAAAACATCGACCACATTGACCTCACCTTGAAAAGACCACTTAAGGTCAAATCCATATTTTTATCATGTGGCCCCCTCGAAACCATGCAACTTTTGTTTGAAACATTTTTTGATATCTCACTTCGTTTCCAAAAAATATGCCCGCGTCACTATAAATGCCGCACCCTGTATATAACTATATGTGTGACTAAAGATAGATTCTAATTTATCGGAATGATTGAAGATTATTAGAAGCGATTCAATTTCAATTTAGATCTAGTTTAGATTTCAACAGACTTAAACGAACACGCAAAAAATATATTTTTTTGTTTATTCGTAATAATAAAAAAATACGTAATAATAAAAATAATAATACACTTGATATTTAATTTACTCTGTATATAATTTACGCTGTAAGATATAATTATAGATTTATAACATTTATGACATCATTAATGAGGAAATGTTTACGATTTAAATATTAGTTTTGATGTGATAATTTTTATTGTATATTATTATTGCACATTATGTACTTGAATGTGTATGTGCATCTTGAAAGAAATATTTCATCCTGATGCGCTATCAGCTTTTCTTCCAAGACAAGTGATCGTTTTTTTCTATATAATTATCACGACGTTGTGACGTAAAGTTTGAACTTTGATATTTAAACGACAGACACGCTTAGAAATAACTATATGGTTTGTTCTAATCTGAGATATTGAGATACATTTTAGCGACTGCAATATTTTTTATCGAACTTCATCAATAGTTATCAACAATACTTAATGAATTTTTAAAGAGATCTTTAGTAAAAAAGAAAATTAAAAATAATGGCTCAGTGACTCAACTAAGATTTTTAAATTTCTATGCAAAATTTAGTCACAAAAATATATATATTAGGTGTACAACTTTGCTTCCGCCGTTTTCCTATAGATGGCTTTAGCGGTAAGTAGTGATTCGGAAAAAAAACGGCGGAAGCAAAGTTGTACACCTAATAGCAAACATCTCTTTAAATTTTATTCTCTTAAATTTTAATCTCTTGTTTTATCGTACAGTCGAAGTAATAAAAGTACACAAAGCATAGCCTTGAATTTGAAATGTTTTTAAATTTTATCATATACATTAACAAAAAAAAAAAAGAAAAAAATCTGGAATTTACCTATAATTAATCTACACTTTTGCATCGTCTGTATATATGACATGTGTGACATATACATATACATATACATATTCGTTCTTGTGTGATATGTCAAGATACATATCACAACGTAACTCGTAACTAAAGATAGAGCTCGCGTGATTAAGTATAAAGTATAAAGTGATTAAATATATCCATTATCGCTCGCCGTTATCGCGATTCGCGGTAATCACCGTGACAGTGATTCGTTGTCATATGCGTGACACACGATAAGAGTGCACGCGAGATTTCAGCGCGCAAACCGCATGGTATTTTCCTGCGCTTTTGAAAGCGGCGAGCCAGTCGACGTTTGTGTATCGTCGCGGATCGTGTCGCGTTCTCTTCCGCTCGAACGCGTTCTCTATAGCGGTTCTCTTCCCCTCACGAGTCAACTAACGGGAGTGCTCCGTTAGCGCGTCGTCAACGCTAATTGTAGAATTCATGCCGGTGCCTCTTCCTCGAATACTCTATGTTTACTCGCGGTGATAGAAACCCGCGATACGAGAGTGGCATATAAAAAGAGAGATTTTTCCGTATCTATAAAATTCATCGAAATCGGTTTTAAATCTTGTCGTTGTTAGTTTTATTTCCGATACCTATTTATTGGCATAGAGGAATAACTGATGTTTGCAAAGTTCGTTTTATATCCTGTTTAACTCGTTATTAGTGTTACCATCTGTCACCGTTCTCCGTGGCTGTTCTTATGAACATGGAAACTCGTCGCCGTATTGACGCCGGTTTTTGTAAGTTCTTTAAAAATTTATTTAAAAAACGATCGATCAATTGATACTAGAATACAATGGATATAATAAAAAACTCCAACTATATATATCATTTTTTATTCATTATTTATTTTTCTTAATCGTGGTTTCATTTGCGTTATATGATTTTATTTACTCACTATTTTGTTAGGTTCATTAACTATTAATAATGATAAACTCAATTTATATTTTTTTCTTATGATTATTTGCATGTAATATACATAATATTTAAAATACGTGTTAAAGGGTTATTTTAGGGTTAAATAAAAAAAGGGCTAGATGAATTACGAATGTTTATTATCTTACATTATTTTTCGATTTTAACTTTCATTGTTTCAGACGCGCAGAGTAAGATATACGTGTATCAAGTTATCGAATATACCACATGTGATTTTTTAAGATAGCGATGCAATAACAACGTTTGTTTTGTCGCAGATAAATTTATCATAGTAATAACATTATTTTTGAAAAGAGCTTGCGAATCAGAATTGTTATTTGTTATTCTCCGCGTTCGAACGAATTTCGTTAAGCAAATCTCCGCCAGATTTTTTTTGGTATCAAGCAGGATAAAATCAAAACAGACCGTAGCTTGATTCACAGAAGTGCACGAAAGACAGATTTTGCGGTCTCAAAACAGCTTGTATAATTTCTCATAAGTCCGTGCAATAACAGGATATCTCAAATAATAGGTTGCTAACGTAACAATATGCGATTCTGTCTGGCCGCGTTACGACGCACCTGATAAGACAAGTTTCCGAAAAGTTTTGACATTCTCGAGGTCTTTCTCCAGATGTTGAATAAATCGCGTGCACGTAAAGGAAGGCATAGATCTTATGGCTTTAATTAAGGCCTGGTTTTATATTTATTATGATCTGGGGTTATATTTATTGCGGCCTTTCTGATCTTATTATTTATCTCTCCGGTTTCAAAATTCGAGATATTAATAGTATATTTCCGTTATATTTCTGTACGAGATTAAAAGTATGATGAGCCTTGAATATTTAAATTAATTCAAAATTACATATCATTCATTCAAAAAAGAACGAAAAAATTGAATCAACATTGCAACGTATTAATACTGTAACGCGCAAATTAAAGGAATATATATCTGAATCTTTTTTAATGAAGGCATATTATATGGTATGATTCAAGAGTAATTTGCAGATATATATATATCTTATATGTTATTGCATTTTCTACAAAAGAAACGTAGCCCGCGGTTTAAACGTTTTTTTAGCAATTCTCCGTAACACATCACAGCAATAATATTCCACTAATACGAACTATGTCTCGGAAACCTTGATTATCGTGACATATAAATCATTCGCAATCAATATGATTAAAAAACTTTTTCGCTGAAAATCCAATTATTTTGTACTGAAAGAGCTCCACGATAATGCGATTTATTTATTCGGTCTTTGATGAGTTTTCATAGCAAACATCACTCAAGTGTTGATCTGTGAAATTTATTTATAATCGATCGTAACCATAAATCGTCTCGTGAAAATACAACGACACTGGTCGAGACTATCTCATCTATAGTGGATCTATTTTGAATAATAATGCACATAATACGATTTTACTCTATTACAGATATACATAAGATAATTTAGTAAACATAATTTTGATTCGAAGAAAGGTATAGCACGTTCCACAAATAATCTTTCTTTTATTTCTTAAATTTTTCTTAAAAAAGGTAGATCATGATAAAATTCAAATTTGACAGTTCGAATTGAATTTTATTGTGAACATAATAATAACGTAATATGGAAAACGAAGAGATTTTATTTATTTTGTTATTAGAAATATTTGAATAGATTTCTGTATTACTATAAATTATAATGCTTTTCGAAAGTCATACAGAGGTTTGATGCAATAGAATTTATTTACGAATCATATGAGTTTTATTGATTTACATAAAAAGTCCCTCAAAAAATCACATATCAGTGGCCATCTTTTGCACGCGATTTTAAAATTTGTGGCTAATTATCAATGTTACCTACTAAACTTTTCAACGTAAATATTTCAATAACTCTGATTTATGAATTAATAGCGATATGAACATTAATGAATTTTTTACACATTTCGTAATGTGATCTTTTACGAGACACTAATGTGGGGATAGTTATATCAGCCGCGAGAGGGCACACACATACAGATAATGTTGTGATTAAAACTTTAAGATTATGAAAGTAGTCTGTGGTGATACACAGTACAGTGAAGATTACACATCAATATTATGTCAATAACATATCGGCTTGCATCGTTGCAGAAATAATTGCTTAAGCTATTACGTGGTGTTACTTTACAAAGTGTTCGTTATGGCTAATAGACATAATCGTGTATCATATGATCAATTAACAGAGTTTGAGCAAGGTCGTATAATAGGCCTTTGTGAAGCAGGATGGTCCTTTCGTCAAATTGCGGAACAAATTGGACGAAGAATATCCGCGATTTATCGATGCTGGCGAAAATGGGAGCAGGAAAACATCAAAATTTATAAACGCAATTTTACGCCTAATAGAAGTACGTATCTGTATCGCCACGAATTATTGTCATGACTTTGGAATTTTGATCGCGACATTTGTTTTTTATATATTACTTATCGTATTGTATTACAATATTGCACAAACTAGATTTCTCTCTTTCTTTCCTTTATTTATTTTTTTAAATTTTTTCTTTATTTTAATTATTTTTTCTTTATTTTTCTTAATTTTTTCTCTTTACTTTTATTTTTTTTCTTTATTTTAATTTTTTCAATATCTTAATTTTCTTTTATTTATTTATTTTTTTTTTTATTTTCCATTTTTCCAAATTTTGTTACATTTAAACTTCATTGAGATCGCAATAATTTATATTATAGCGACATATCAACATATAGATTTCTAATAAAAAAAAAATATTATTGTGCTCATAATAGACTTCAGTTTAAGCTATTAAAATTGAACTTCATTTTTCGCGATACCTTTCTAATCTAAGAATTAAAAGAAAGTGTTAAGTTTATGGCGAGACACCCTACATCCGCTGACATTTCATGTCCGCATAAGGACGTGTATCTCGATATCTAAGGTGTTAAATAGATCAGACCGACTATACTTGTAAGTAAGCTGACCAGGGATGCCCTGACCCTGACTACCGCACATCGGCTTCTCGCGAAGTGGGCCGTGTCCTGGATGGTTGCCATCGGGGAGAGATCTAAATAGAGATATCGGCGCCGGTCTCTCTCGCAATGGGACGACCACTTTGCGGCCGGTCCAATGGATTCCATTCTATCGTGTCAGCTATTGCGCGACAGATGCACGTGTCTTATTAATCAATGGATGAATAATATCCCCAAAAATGTAATATATACATGTATAACATGTAGACGCAATACGCAAACATGAATTTTATACTGTATACATTGAGAAGGAAGCTCTAAATACTTGGGTTATTTTAGAAATATTGTCTTTTGATGTTACAATAAACTAGAGCACTACGTATCACATACGTTATATTGTACCCTGAATCATTTAGTTAAAATAGCAACTCTGACACAATTTCACAGCATAAAATTATTTCTTTTTTCTTTATGTGTATAGATGTCATATATATGTGTTTTATATACACATATATATATATATATATAATATTTCTGTCTTAATGTAAAATTATATAATTCTGAAATTGCTTATTATATTTATTGAAATTAAAAAAATACGTTTATATATGTATTTCAATTATAAAATTTAAATTTGATAGAACTTTTTATTTTTTTATTCGTGTTACAGCTATTTGTATGATCGGTTATTTTGTTCCTTCAATTGCTTGTTAGAGAATTGCTCTACATAAATGAAATTTATAAATATAAAAAGATACGTAAAACTAAAAGTAAGTATGAGAAAGGAGGGTTGATAGAGTGTATCTCAAAATAATCTTTTATGAGCTTGGATCTGTATGGCAGTCAATATCTTATAATATACGTAGACTTATATTGAAGCTGTACTAATATCATGGTAATCTAGAATTTCAAAATAAAAAGAAAATTACAAGTCTTAATCAAACCTCGCGATAATTATGTATATTTCATGAAAATTCGTTCATTACTTTATTTCACTCGATTATAATGTAATTAATTTTTTAATATCATACAAGAGTGAATCAAAAAAATTATTTTACACACTTTATTTTTATAATTTATTACAACTACAACAGAGAATTTACAGACACATTATTTTTCCATATAGTTCTCTTGCTTTCAATGTATTTGGTCCAGCGTTCCACAAGTTTATTTATGCCCTCAGAAAAAAAATGTGTTTGTTACGCTGTCAGTCATGCATGCACCGCGTCTTTTACCTGTTGATTTGTAGAAAATCGATGACCTGATGATTGAAACACTTCAAAATCTGGAATTTGAGGTCTTGGACCGTCCACCGTATAACCCTGACCATCGACTATCTTTTAAGGCTTCTTTAAGTGAACCAAAGAGATGGTAATCTGAAGGAGCGAGGTCAGGGTTATACGGTGAAGGATCCAAGACTTTAAACTTCAAGTTTTGAAGTATTTTAACTGTATAAGCAACAACAGGTCGTCGATTTTTTACAAAAGCAAAAGGACTATGAGGAAAAACGATGTATTTGTTGTAACTGTAATCTATTGTAATAAATAATAGAAATAGAATGCGGATAATTTTTGACTTATTCTCATATTTGACACACCGAAATGTTAATTGAAATATTCTTCTTAGAAAGCTTGGTGAATAAAAAAGATTCGACGTACATATTTCTAGCTGTACATCTTTCGTAACGCTGTGTAACTTGACAATAAAATTATGTAGAAAATGATTATATTTGAGTAACGTATTAGCATGTATGTGTAGGATGTAGCATATAGGAAGTCGAATATCGACGTATTGTGACTATTACGAGAAATCACGGAAATTTATCATTTTGAAAAAAATGGAGAAATAATAACATATTTTTCCGTATTTTGTCTCGTATTAG